TCACAGCATCGCGTGTGCTCCCTGGGAAAGCGGCCCGAGTACCAATAAGAGGTCACTGTGTTTAGCTGATGATTTAAAACATATATAATGGTCTTTTGCTAGAAAAAAAAAGGTACGGGTTTCATTTGAGTGAAATTTAGTGTAAGATAGCTGTGGATATTGAGAATTTGTGGAAGCCATTCGTGATAATAAAGCTTTTATTTGCTTTGGAGCAAATAATCCTTTGGTGTGATGTTTATTGTCTTTGGATTTTAGTTGTGGTTTAAGCCAAGGCAGAATGCTCTGCCCTAAATGCTTCTTCAGTGAGACAGACCCTGTCTCCTTTAAATTGCATTTGTCTGAAATGGACTCGGTCACATGCAATAAATTCTGGCATTTTAATGGAAACATTACAGCAAAAATAGTTAACAATCTGCTTTAATTTCAAAACCAATTTTCCCCTTCATACAGTAAAGCAGTATCTTGGTAAAATGTGCAAAACGCGTTGGCATTTAATTATGATGGCAATTTGTTCTGAAGCAAGGTTAACCGGGCTGTCAGTAATCTGGATAAAGGGGTTGAGGGCTTGGCAGAGGAGGAGGGTAGTAGTGGCTTGGTGTCTGGGTCCTGAATGCCATGCAGACCACGGTGGAATCAGGAGCCCTGGCCTATTAGCTGATGAAGGTCCAAATCAGTGGGAGGCTGGGTGTTCCTGGGAGCACAGGAGCAGTCTGTGTGCACCAATGGGTCCGTCCCTGTGCCAGACTGAGAGACAAGGAAACCATCTGGGAATCGTTTCTCCATGTCTCTCCGCTGGATCCAATCCATTCCCCAATTTATTCCTGCAACAACTATTTGAATCCCATTGCACAGGTGCTGGAGATACAAAGGTGAGCAAAAAATAGGCAGGATTCCTGTCTTAGGGAGGTTATAGGCAAACTGAGGCCCAGTGCATGAAATTCATGCATGGATAGGGTCCCTAGGCCTGGCCGGTGATCAGGGCTGATCAGGTTCCCTGCCTCCCTGCCTCCCACCTCCTCCTTCC